GTATGTTTATTTACCTACAATAAAATTAATAGTTCGACCCAGGTTTTGATATTTTTCCCTGAAATTGATCTTAAAATTCTCAGTAGCCGTGACTCTTTCCCATCTTTCCTTTAATATCGTTGTTCTTCTCACATAGCCGAGAAACTTGAACTGAACAATGAGAGTGTCCTTACGGGTTGCAATGGTGAAGCCAACTTTTGGCGGGTCAGCCAAATTATTGCCGCGGGTCATAGGTTGCAGACCACTGATATAGGTGTTGCAGATGGGCCACCAATAAAATACTTGCTGTACGTAATTCTCTGGAGTACTAGGGATAAAGCCAGCACTGAAATTGAGCAGCAGTTGACAAACAGGAAGAGACATCTATCATAAAATGCATGGTCATCATCAGTAATAATTGTGAAAAAGAAAATATTAATACTGAATTTTTGTGTACGCTTTTGGCAAGTAACTCTTATTGATAAGTTTATTTTCTCTTATAAAGATGAATGTATAGATGTTTTAGAGTGCGTCTGCTGGTTCAATACATTAGATACTCTGTCTGGCTAACACAAAGTTGAACTTGATGACATCCCTGACAATACTTGCAGACCAAGAGTTTAATATGATAACAGAACATGCGTCTCTGAAATGGTTGATTTATATTTGTTTATTTATAGAATTTCGTAAAAGGCTACTTGAGGGCTACCTGCGTTAGCTATCCCTAATTTTGAATTGATAGACAAAGCCACCCACCGATAGCTTTTGGGCTACTCTTTACCAATGAATAGTGAGATTGACCGTCACATCATAACGCCCACATAGCTGAAAGGGCGAGCATGTTTGGTAACGGGATAAGAATCCTTGCCCCGCAGATTGGAAGTCAAATGCCTTAACCTCTAGTCCATGCCAGGTTGATTGATCAATGTCAGAGGATCGTATGGGTTGGCTGTACATTAGATAATAATGCCCAAAGAAAACAATCTTGTTGTACAAATCATCCATTAAAACAACAAGGAAATGTGGAAGGACTTTTTCAGAACAGAATAAAACTATGTCTAAAATTACCTCTGTGAGAAACAAACTTCGAGACAGGGAAAATACCAGAAATAAAATAACTAGTTGTCAAAGTCTGCAAATTTTGGAAATAGCTATTAAAAAACCCTGATCTAGAGTGGCATCTAATTTTCATGAAGCAGGGAAAAGTACGACTCACATGGTATTGTAAACAAACCCTAGAAGCTCATAACCTCAGACAGTTATGTAAGCAATTAAAGATAGGAGAGGGAGTGCTTTACCACTGTTACTGTCCAAGGAGATTTTGGGTACATATTGTGACACACGTAGTGGTCACAAGCACTCTGATTCAGGAGATTCTATGTACATTACACGACACAGGGAATCCGGGGATACCAGGGAATATAACACACCAAGCTAACTTGTAGAAGTAGCTCTATGGACTGTATTTCTGTAAGATGGTGATAGTGATAGTACATTGTGTTTGCTGCATGAAGAAAGAATTAACCACGTCAGGCAAAATTTTAACAGAAAATGATTAATTCTCCATGCATTGTATCACAATTTGGTTTAATCATATCTCTGCCAGGAACAGAAAATGGAACTTAATACATACTGAAAGTAGTTAATTATTTCACTCAAGGGGCTAAAGGATATATTGTTAAAAGTAGAAAAGACTCATAACTTACCCCATAACTCATAGTCTGATTGTTTAATCAAATGCATAATGCAAATTGTCAAGTAAATCCTTGAAAGGTTTGTGAGCTTTGACCAACCTAGCTGGAATGATCACATACCTTATGCCACTGAAGTGTATAAGGTGGTGAGTCAACGTTCAATGGTTGATCCAAAACTTCTTGTTCAGTGGGAGGTTACACTTATTGCAAATTTGATGTACAATATCCTATAAATTGCACACATCCTTAAGTTGTTGTAGAAATATGTGGAATAATTATGAACCACCTTTTCTTTATCGAATCAGTTTCCAAGGTAACAACTTGGAATTACTGCTGTATGGCAAAAAATAGAGTTATGATAAGCTCTCGAAGATAAATGGGTTTAATACAAAGACTTAGTTTAGCTGTGATAAGCATCAGCATCACAATAGACTTTCAGATCTGGTTTGACTACGTTATATCCGATAATATAATTTGTTGAACTATAAGCTGTAGCAACCAC